TGAATGGAAATCCAGCGAGGCACCAAAAGTCTACAAATTCCCCTGGAGAAAATGGCTGCTTTGGCAGATGGACTCTATACCATTATACTGGGGCCATTTTACAGGCTAGGCTGGGTTGGAAGAAAGCTGTTCTTGTAGCTGCATTAACTTGCTTCTCCTGTAATAAAGCTGGATCCAATATAACCCCAAGGCTTTTAACTGAATCAGCAAGGGTCAGCTGAACTCTCTCAAAAGTGGGGAGAAGAATGTGTCCTTCAAGGCCTCCGCCTTCCCAACCAGCATTACCTCTGTCTTTTCAGGACTTAGTTTCAATTTGTTGACTTTTAGCCAGTTAACCACTGCGGCCAAGCAGCCATTCAAGACCTCTACTGGATCACTTTTTTGAAACAAAGGCCCTGGGAAATTCCTGATTGTAAGGGTGAAGCTCACACACAGAGACAAATTAACTGTAGAAAAGAGCAAGAGTCCAGTAGCACCTTAAAGACTAACAAAATCTGTGGTGGAGTATGAGCTTTCGTGAGCCACTGCTCACTTCTTCAGAAGTATATTTTCTACAGTTAATTTTCAGAATGTCATTGGCACTTTCTCCTGGACTGTTGAGTACATTCTGAATGGATTCTGATGTTTATGTGTACGACTTCAGTTCCTGTGAATGGAACACCAGATTTTTGAAGGGATGCATTATCTTGCACGTGTGACCACCACCAGAAATGTTCAGCCTAGTTTTCTTCCTGGTGTGCTATTTTTCTGTGTTCAGCATGGTTGGGGGAGGTTGTGCTGGGAATAAAATGCAGGGCTATTTTTGGGCAGGAACGCACAGGAACAGAGTTCCGGCTGGCTCCCGAGTTGGCCACACCCCGCAGGAACTCATTAGCATAATAGGCCACACCCAACAGCAGGAACTCATTCGGATTGGCTACAATTAGGGGGTGTTGCCTAACATGCAAAGGAGTTCCTGCTACAAAAAAGCCCTGGGTTTTGACAACAAACAAGGTAAACAGAATAAGAAGCAAAAGGTGGGTGTGGCTGGATGACCACACTTCTTGTAACATGTTGGTGTAGCCTAATATGCTAATAAGCTGTGCTGTCAGGGGTGTGACCTAATATGCTAATGAGTTTGTTCTGTTGGGTGTGTCCTATTATGCTAGGGTTGCCAAGTCTGGGTTGGAAAATACCTGGAGACTTTGGGGGTGAAGCCAGGAGAGGGCGTGGTTTGGGGAGGAGAGGGGCCTCAACATAATACAATGCCATAGAGTCTACCCTTCAAAGCATCCATTTTCTCCAGGGGAGCTAATCTCTGTCGGCTGGGGATCAGCTGTAAAAGCGGGAGATCCCCAGGCCCCACCTGGAGGCTGGCAACCCTATATTATGCTAATGAGTTCCTGCTGGGCTTTTTCTACAAAAAGAACCCTGATAAAATGGATCTAGTGTTACCAAACTCCAGGTAGGGCCTGGTGTTCTCCCAGAATCACAACTGATCTCCAGATGAGAAAATGGCTGTTTTGGAGAGTGGACGGCATGACATTTTTCTCTGCTGAGGTCCCTCCCAATGCTCTGCCTCCACATCTGTATGGTAGAGGTCTGCAAAGTGTTGTCCATGGGTGTCATGGACCCACCAATACCTTTCCTGGTGACTGCCAAGTGTTTTTACAAAGTAGTAGGCATAGGTGGGGCTTCGACCCAGCAAGGCTTCTGACCAGGGATTTGACTGGCTTTGCCACTGCTTTGATCGGGGATTTGATTGGCTTTGCCATTGGCAACAACTGCCACCACAGCACAAGGATCGTCACCGTGTGACCTAAGGTAAACTGTGGCAGCCATTTTGTAGCCAGCGGGGACCTGGCAACCCTGCCCTCAGTGCAGAAAGCTTGGGCACTCAGCCGTCTGTCTGCCCAAGGCTGGAGCTGTGCCTCCTGTGGCCACAGAGGCCAGGGCAAGACACAAGCCCTTGACAGTTGGAATCAATGGAGCAAAAATTTTCTGGAACCAGCTTTGACTCCTTTGCTTCTGAGAATACACTACATATTCTTCTGGCTCATGAAGAATGATCTCACTGTGGGACGTCCGATTTATGGCGGCACGCAGGCAGATGCATCTCCAGGTCGTCCCGGGGATGCAATCTGCACACCAGCGTGTAGGAGGGGGTGCGACGGGTCACGACCCCCCCAGAGCCTTGGTAAAAGGCTCCTAGCTAGGGGGCTTTTGAGGGGCGACCTCTTCGCCAGCGCAATGCTGGAGAATTGAGGCATGCCTCCACCCCGAAGGTCCTGCCACTGAGTGTCCGCATGGACTTAGAGTCGCTGACCAGGACAAGCATCGGAGATCGGGAAAGAAAAACTGATGCCGAGTGAGGCCGGTTGACTGGCAACGAACTGTGAGTTGGGTTGAAGTGAGCATGAAGATTTAAAAAGAAAGCTGCCCCCCTTATGAGCAACGGAAAGTGAGCGGGGGAGGTGCCCCTCCCAAATGCATAAACGAAAACATGGAAATAAAGAGGGGGGGAGCGGAAGAATAAGCGTCTAAATCTGTTTTAAGAGACTTACCAGACCGCAGATAAGCGTTTGGGTGAATATCAGAGACTTTAGCAACTTTCAGAAAAGTAAATAATCCAAAAAGATGGCGGGGAAGAAACCAGATAAAGACAAAATGTTGAAAGCAAAACTAGTGGGCAGTTCTTGAACGAAAGAGACCACCGAGCTTTCCAAATTGTTGGCAGATTCCTTGCACCCTCTGCTGGATGATATGACTAATATCAAGCAACAATTGTCAACAATTGGTCAGAGTTTGGCTTCACAGCAGCTACAACTGACTAAATCTTTAAAAGCAACGGAGCAAATGCCAGAGAAGGTGAAGGAAATGGACGCCAATACTAAAAAAGTCAAGAAAAAGGTGCAAAAGCTGGAAATGAAACAAGCTATGGAAGAGTCACAACTTTTACAGCTGCAAATGGAAAAAGCAAATTTGGTCCTATGGTTCCAAGGGATCCCAGAATCTAAAGGAGAGAATCTGAAGCAACTGTTGAATGAAGCCAATAGCCCCAATAACAGATTTGACAGCGGAATATCTTTACAGCGAGATGGATGTGGTCTACAGGTCCTATTCCTCATAAATCAAGAAAAATAATCTGCCTGGGGAAATAGTAGTCAGATTCTTGAAGAGACATGTGAGAGACTCTATTTTGAAAGCAACAACAGGAACACCCTTGAAAATCGGGGACAATAATATCAGGATTTTAAAAGATATTCCATTTGAAATAAGAAAGAAGATAAAGAAATATAAAGACTTAATTCTCTTTTTACAAACAAAGGGCATCAGTTACAGATGGTTAATTCCAGAAGTCATAATTTTCAAATTCCACGATAAAAAAGAAAAGCACGTGAGTTCCTGAGAATACAGCTGGGGGAACCAGCGGAGGACAAGAAGGAAGAAGAAGAAAGCAAATCCGATGGCAAGTTAGGCTCGGTGCCTTCTGACGAGGACTCTCTCTTTGAAAAGGGGGTGGCAGCCCCCAAAAGTCCAAATAAATTGAGGATAAGAGAATATATGAGAAAACAAAGGCTGAAGGACTCTGAATTGTGCCTGAAAATCTTAGTAATAACTTTGGGATGCTCTGAGGGTTTCATTAAACAGATAAATGGATGGTTAAAAGATAAATAACCTAGCATAACTGACTATGTTCAATGTATTACTAGCATTTTAGATTAACATTGAGATAAGCTGATGTATTGATCTCCTACTCTTGGGTTTTTAGTTATTAGTGGGTTTCTTTTCTTTCTCCTTAAATGTAGTTTCCCTTCCTATATTTTCAGTTATAGTTTGTAGTCCTGTAAAAAAAAAACACCAATAAAAAACTCCCCTCAGGGGGGTTAAAAAAAAGAAAAAAAAGAATGATCTCACTGTGTCGTTTAAGTGTTTGCATGCCAAGTATTTCTATAAAAGACATTCTGTTAACTATTTTGTGCCTCCATGAATCTGGGACCAACATGGCAACCAGTTACAAGCATGTTGTACATACTGCAGGGATATGTCTAACAAAGGCATGCATGATTACTCTAGGCATCCTTGCTCAGGAATCAAATGGAGTTAGCAGCAAGGAGCAAAGCACTTGTATGTTTCACTGCAAGCTTTAATTAGCAGATTAATCCATTAAAGCTTGAGTTGATTAATTGGTTGGGAGCCCATATCAATCAGGAGAGGGCATGTTTTGTTTTTGTTTTTTTCCTGGGAATGCACTAGCTTACATTCAGGGCTGTTCAGAAGCGTGAATGATTGCAGAGTGGGATAAGATATGAAATTTGGAACAATGAAAAGCAACCCTTGTTTATCAGATTACAAATCGTTTTGCAGTTCCTACCTCTTAAGTTTTGATAACAGAGGAATTTGTTTAAATGAAATCCGTCGACCAATTTAAGCAGCAAGAAGACATTTCCGGCGCACTCCAAAGCGCAAGTCACACCTTTCTACATCCATTGATGTCAATGGGTTTGGATGGGTGTAACTCTGCTTAGAATTCCACTGTTACCACTTAAAATGGTTTCCTTGGGGCTGACCCCAAAATGGTTGTGAATTCCCACGTGTTGTTTGCGCACAAGATGCACATTTTTTTTCAATGAGAGTGTCTTAAAAAAAAAGTATACAGATGTTGTAGCCCCAACCATTTTGCTGGTTTTCATTCAAGTTCTCAAAGGAAAATCAGCAGACTTCCCTACCGACTTGGCCATTGATATACACTATGGTTCCCATCCTCAAGGGGGTGTGTGTGTGGAGATTTCCAGGGATTTAAACTGAACTCCAGGTGACAGAGATCAGGTCCCATGGAGAAAATGGCCACTTTGGAGGGAAGGCTCTATGGTGTTATACTGCATTGAAGCCCCTCCCCTCCCCAAAGCCTTTCTTCCTCAGGCTTCGCCCCCAAAATCTCCAGGTATTTCCCAACCCAGAGCTGGCAAACCTAATAAACATTCCATCGGTTGCTAGGGAGAGTCACAAGGAGCGCTTACCTGTTTGTGAGCATGGTCGTAGGAGTTAATATGATTGTCGAACTCTTGATGCTTGTAATACTGTTTGTCACACAGTTCACAATAGAAGTTAGCTTTAAGGTCTTCCAGAGCTTTGGCTATCGTATTCTCCTTTTCTGCATAATCCTGCAAAGAGGAAACGGAAAAGAGTTCTGAGTTATTACTTTGATACCAAAATTGGGATTAAAAAAAAAAAAACTTTGTAATTCCATTGAATTTGCATATACACTGCTGTAAGTCAGTGCCTCCCCATATTTGCCTTATCAGCAAAGAGGCACAATATTTTGCACACTCCAATTTGCGCTAAAATCGATTTCTACCTCTGGGGCTTTCTGAAAAAGATATGAGGCTAAAGGAACACACTTTTTAAAAATCTCACTGGGAAAAAATAAATAAACCTAATATTTATCTTGCTGAAGGCTATTTTAATTTCTGTGGGGGAAGGGGAAGCAGTGGGTCAAAACCTTTAGTGAAGAAATGCATTTATGCAAAACACATATGGAGATTAAAAGAGACATTTAATTTGGTTACAGGGCTGTTTCAGTGAACAGTAATAAACAGTTTAGTATTTGAATATGGGGGAAATAAATATGTGGGAGGACGATTATGGCCACAATTGAATAATTATTTATTCCAGAACTTACAAAACATCTCCAGAGCCTAGCCTGGCACTGGAATTACATCCAGTTATATCAAAGGAAAGATTGCCAACCATTGTAGGTAGGGTTGCCAGACACTGACAGTGCCTGGCAACTGATGGGAGGGTTGTGGGTGGGATATGGGGAGAGGTGGAGCTGGCTGCAACATCACATCACTTCTGGTTAAAAATAGAGGAAGTGAGATAGGTTGCTCTAGGAATCGACAGAAACTCTGTGGTAAAACCATAGTGTTTCTGGCGATTCCTAGAGCTACCCTTTGTCATGTCTAGTTTGTTGTTTGTTTGTTTGACAGGAGAACATTTTTGATCTGGGGACATGGGTCCAATTGTGCTACCTGAAGAAGACTCCCATGTTCCCCCCCTATGTATGGATCTGAATAATGTAATAAAATACGCAAATTGATTACCATAATACAGGGAATTGTTTATTAGCCCTGATCCCATCAACATGCTGAAGGCGGTGTACTTTAATGTCCTCATTAAATCCTCAAATTACCTGTTGGTTTTTTGTACATTAATTCTAACTGCAGAGGAAGAACTATGCTAAGAATTAGGGATGTGGATTTGGGTGTACCTGAATTTAGCAGCAGCAGCAGCAGCAGCAGCAGCAGCAGCAGCAGCAGCAGCAGCAGCAGCAGCAGCAGCAGCAGCAGCAGCAGCAGCAGCAGCAGCAGCAGCAGCAGCAGCAGCAGCAGCAGCAGCAGCAGCAGCAGCAGCAGCAGCAGCAGCAGCAGCAGCAGCAGCAGCAGCAGCAGCAGCAGCAGCAGCAGCAGCAGCAGCAGCAGCAGCAGCAGCAGCAGCATCAAACCTGTTTCTCCCAGATTAGAGTCCGCACACTTAACCACTACACCAAACTGGCTCTTTAAAGTAGCTCAGGGATGCCAGAAATGACTTTAAATGCTCCTGAAATTCCAGCAGGATTGAACATTTATGTCCCAGAGTTTTAGGAGTGTTTTTGGGTTTCAGGGAGGGGAAGAGAAGAAGCTGGCCCAGGAAAGAGCTGCAGGAATCTATCTTCCCAAAGCTGATGATTAGGTAGATTTGGCCTCTACCCATGGCCCTTTAAATTTTAAAAGGGAAAACACTGAACTGGCCCTAAAATTACCGTGCCAGCATTGGGATACTGCCACTCCCGAGTAAGATGGCTCACTATCAAGGACATCAGAACACTGGCTGAAGTCCCAGAGTTGATTAGTTACTGATTCTTGAAGGTTGCCTTACACAAAATTGTTAAGGACACCTTTCTGAGATCTCAGAAATACATCCCCCCCCTCAAATGGCCTCTGACTTAAAAGGTGCCAAATCCACCGCAAATAAAACAGTCATCATGGACAGCATTTGCTAAGGAAGAATTCTGTAGGCCTGTAATCTCAGAATGATCCCTAAGACTTGGGATATTTCCTATAGAAATATAAGCTACAGTAAAATAATGAGCAATTGTCATGGGTCACAGAAAACTGCACAATGAGATGAAAATCATTGTCCTGGTTCAATTCTCCCTATCAGACAAGTCTAGCTCACCACTTAGTGGTGCATAACACTAAAGGGCTAGAACTTCTGGCTGCCTGACAGGCTTAGGATCTCCTACCTATTCCATACACAATGCCATCTGGTAATTAATTAATTCATTCATTAATTTTCCTATCAGATTTTAAAAGGGTTAGTGGAGATCACAATCACAATGTTTGTTTGTTTCTTGTAATGGACAGGTGATGGACTGATAGGCCAATCCTTGCTGCAGAACTGATCAGATAATGTGACTGTTAGCCTTCCATGGGGAATATTACTCTGAATTCTAGGGCCATTTGTTCTTCAAGCCCATGGCAGTAAGTCATTGTTCCCTCTGACTTTCCTTGAACTGTTTTCTAGAGAATCTGATACATTGCTGGCTCCTTCTCAATCACCACTTGCTCCCTTACCCATTTCTTCTTTAAGCCCTGTGTCACATGGGTTAACCAGGAGGGACTTTGGATGCCACTCCCATTAAAGCTGCCAGATGCAGGCTGGGAAACTCCTGGAGATTTGGGACTGAAGCCTGGGGAGGACAGGGACCTTAGTGGGGTACAATCCCATATAACCCACCTTCCAAAGCACCCATTTGCTCCAGAGCAGGGGTCATTTGGGGGGGGGACGCCATCCCCCTGGGTGAGGTGCGGGAGGGCGGGGCCTGGAGCTCCCTGCTGGTGCCCGCTGGAGGTCACCGCCGGCTGTGGGGAGGACACACTTCCGGTGATGTCAGGGGGTGTGGCATATGCTAATGAGTTATGCTAATGAGTCCCCCTAGCTCTTTTTCTATGAAATGACCCCTGCTCCAGAGGAACTGATCTCCGGAGTCTGGAGATGAGCTGTAATTTTGGGAAGTCCCTGGGTCCCGCCCGGAGGCTGGCATCCCTACCTCCCATCAATCTACTGGCAGAATCTTCGCCTCAGCTGCAGATGGAATTTGTGTAACTGAAACAAATTTCTATTTTTTTTTAAAAAAAAACATATTTGCCCTTGTTTTCACCCCCTCTTCCCCAAGAGCACCTACACTTGTCACCGAAACATCGCCCAACAAAAATTGCAAACAAATTTCGGTTTTCGTCATCAGGCAAAACGTCTAAGGAAGTTTGAGGGAAGGTTTCCGTTTGACTAAAAAAGTTCTTGGGATATTCTCTGCTTCTGTCATCAGATTCAGTCTGAAGTGAGAGCTGGGGGAACTTCCCGAAGAACTTGGAGGCTAAGTAAAAACTGTTTTGATGTGGTGGTGTTAAGTCTGTTAAGACTTATTCAGGGCGCTTTTGGGGGGAGAAGAGGTGCCGGAAGTCTCCAGAGGGAAATGAAGTTTTCAATCTGTATACTGAACACTCATGAACTTGTACACATTTTAAAAAGGATTTTGTCAAAGAGGTTCCGGAACTCCATTCTGGCACGTCCCCCCAGAAAAAAAGAAAAAGCCCTGCTTATGGTGTCCCCTGGTGGGGTTTCAAGACAAGAGATGAACAAAGATTTGCCTTTGCCTGCCTCTGTGTAGCAACCCTAGGCTTTCTTGGTAGTCTGCCATTCAAGTACTAACCAGGGACACACACACCCCACTTAGCTTCCAAAATCTGAGGAGATCAGGCTAGATATATCAAAGGAGTTCTACACCTCCCTGACATGAATGGTGGTTGTTTAGGGATGCCAGCCCCCAGGGGAGACCTGGTGATTCCCTGGAATTCCAGCTTATCTCCAGTTACGGAGGTCAGTTCCCCTGGAGAAAATGGATGCTTTGGAGAGTGGATTCTATGGCATTGTACTCCGCAGAGGACCCCGCCCTCCCCAGGTTCCATCCCCAAATCTCCAGGAGTTTCCCAACCTGGATCTGGCAGTTCTCCCCCCCCCCTTCTGGTGGCCAGGGAGGGATCTGGCAACCCTTTGTCTGTTTGCATACTTCCTGGGTCTGAAGGGATTCTACTCAGGGCGGCTGAGAGAGAACAACATTCTAGGAGCCCTGGTCATTCTGTGTTTTGATTTCATATTATCTTTGGGTTGGGCCTAGGCGGTATGAGAGGAGAGCCCAGAGAGAACCTTTGTCTGAACACTCATTGTGGCTCCCAGCAGCCCTCTCTGCGGCTCGCCGTTCTTTCAATGCAAAATCCCATCCAATAATTTTAAGACTCTGCGAGATTCCTGCCAAGGTAGTGATGGAATAGCTGCTCGCCGCCAGTCTTCTGTGTGTTTGAAATAAGCTGAAGTATTTGTGACTGCAAAATTGCCTTGGGGGGGGAAAAGTCTCGTAAAATTGCTTGATTAAGTTTTTAAATGTTAGGCAAGCTGTTATGCATGGAGATGTGGTTATTATTTATTATTTATGATGTTCTCCCGGTACTTCAGAACTGAGGAACTAAATCAAAGGATGAACTTTATCTCGTATGGGCATACAAGCACAAATACCAGATGATATTAGCGAGCTCTTGCAGGCGGTCGCTGCCTCTCCCTTATCCGGAACATAATAAGGCGACTGGAAAACATGTCATTGTTTGCGGATGCTCAGCTCACAGAAGGCTAGAACTGAGCAGCCCAGTGCCCTGAGTCAGAGTATGGTACCTTATAAGAACATAAGAACATAAGAGACACCAATGTTGGATCAGGCCAAAGGCCCATCTAGTCCAACACTCTGTGTCACACAGTGGCCAGAAATACCAGTGCCATCAGGAGGCCCAGCAGTGGCTCAATGTTTTGCTCTTCCCCTAAAGTGGGAATACACCATGGGTCCAACTTGGTCTGAAGACCAAGTGGACAATACCCTTTCTATTGGCTTGGAACCATCAAACAGTGGTTTCCATGCTGTGTTCTGAAGAACCTCCAGGCTTATTAAGGGTTTTCAATGGCTGACAACATGGTTCTCCCCAAAGACAGTAGGGCTGCCAACCGCCAGGTGGTGGCTGGAGATCTCCTAGGATTACAACTGAGCTCCAGGGGACAGAGAGCAGTTTATCTGGAGAAA